CTATGTTTGGGCTGTTTCAACAGTTCGTGTATCAAAAGGTTCAGCTCATTCAGGACAATCCTGCTGTGATTTTAGGGATTTGTGCAATTTTTACTTTTTGACACATTTAGCTTTTTCTGCAATGTTTTTCTCATTGAAAATAAATAAGCGCTCTCTTCACATCCTTCAAACCCTTTGAGCTGTTTACAACCTTTCACTGCTCATTTCAGCTAGTGTTCAAGATCAGCTTATTTGTGTTTTAAATGTCAGTGGAACAAACAAATAATGAAGGAATCTTCATAATCTCTGTCTCAAAACAATAATTAATTTGGCTATAAATCAAACATTTGCAAGCAATGGTCCTGCCAGCCACTACGTGTTTGTTTACCTACAAAAACAGCCGAAGTGACTAAAAATAAGGTCAACAGTTCATGGAAGAGCCACTTGGAATGAAGTCCCACAGTTTTGATGGATTGGTATTTACACTTAGATTTTTAGGTTTGTAGATAAAAGTACTTTGTTAACAATTTCATGGGGTCTCACCAAGGTGCGACTGTGTTTAGGAAACATGTTGAGAATCAATCTCAGCTACAGATGACACAATGACAGTGTAGAAGTCATTTTATATTATATCAGAAGCCAAGAAATCTGCTCTCATTGATGTAGTTGCGTGATGTAAATCTCATCATTTTGTTCATTCAGTAACTTTGTCTGTCCCTTCTTGACACAAGTAAGTAAACTTTATTTATATAGCCTGATGCATGCTCAATAATCCAGGTAGAAAAATCTAAAAAGTTTGGCTGATGAAGAAAGGCTGATGGTCCTTCTTGAGCATGTGATCAGCTGGTTTTGGTTGTCAGCAGCAAACTGGTTGATCCACTCTGAGAAGGTGCTATTTAAGAGACTGAGCTGAAAACAGCAGCTCAGACTGAGGAAGTCTCTCGGATGAGAGACGAAACGTTTCTACATTTTTTTGTTGTTTTGCTTTGTTTTGTTTTTTTGAATGTCCAGAGGACCAGATTTAACTTTTTTAGATTTATTTATATAGCACCTTTCATAGATAAAATCACAAAGTGCTGTACAGAAATACAGAATACAGGCTTAAAATAAAACAAAAACGGTAAGAACAGCTGATAAGAACAGTAAGAACAGCTGATACAAGCAGAAAGTAAAACATTTAACTAAAAGCTTGACTGAATAAAAACGTCTTAAGCTGCTTTTTAAAGGAATCAACAGAGACGGCCACATGAAGAGACAGGGGCAGGGCATTCCACAGTCTGGGGGCTACGGCCTGAAAGGAAAGGTCACCCCGAGTTTTAAACCGGGTCTTAGGGACCTTTAGGAGGTTCAGCGCTGAAGACCGAAGGTGCGGGCTGTAGAATAAGAGATCAGCATTTCAGTGATGTATTGGCGTTAGGGTTGGGTCCATTTAAAGCTCTAAAAGTCAAGACAAAAAATTTAAAATTAATTCTAAATTTAACAGGTAGCCAATAAAGAGAAGATAAAACCGGTGTGATGCGAGCCCTTCTATTAGTTCCTGTTAAAAGCCTCGCAGCAGCGTTCTGGGCCAACTGGAGACAAGCTGACTTGTAAAAAAAGGAATTACAATAATCTAAACGATAAGAGATAAAAACATGAATAATCATCTCCAGGTCTGATTTGGATAACATTGCCCTCAGTTTAGAAATATTTCACAAATGATAAAAGTGTTTTTTTACAGGAAGCTTTGAACATTTGTCCAAAAACATTGACTGGTCAAACAGAACACCAAGGTTTCTGTGGCTCGTCTGAGGGGCCCAGAGAACCAAGGTGTTGCTTGATCCAAGGAACTTTCTGTTCAAGAGCAATGATACTTCCTCAGGCGGCTGAGACGAGCTGGTCTGGGAAGCTCTGTCCTCACCTCCTTCTACAGGTGTGCAGTGGAGAGCATCCTGTGCTCCAGCATCAACGTGTGGCATGGAGGCTGCACAGCTGCAGAAAGAAAAACTTTGCAGAGAGTGGTGAAGGCTGCACAGAAGATGTTGGAGTCAGCCTCCCCACCATCACAGACATCTACACCTCCAGATGCAGAAAGAGGGCCACCTGCATCATGAAGGACCCCACTCACCCAGCACACGGAAAAGCGCTCGGACAGCAATGTTGCTTTGCTTCAACTACCAGAAGTTGGCTATTGTGTGTGCAAGGAACGTGGACAGCTTTGGAGAGTGGTTGGCCGAGGCAGTCGGCAAATAAGTGCATCTCTTTCAGACACACATAAAGATTGTCAAATGGACCAAAACTCCTGGATTGAGCACAGACATTGTGCACGGAGGAGTCCGTCAGCTGAAAGGTGTGGCGTGTACTGCAGCGGAACGGGTTTCCAGATGTTGAGCCTGTTTTGCCATATTTTCTTCTCTTAAAGACATTCCGTCATGAAAATGTTCCTTCTTTCTACCTTGAAAATGTGTATACAAAGAACAAAAAAGAACAGAATTTTCTGATGCGTTTTGGCTCATTTTTAACTAGGCAATCTTTAAATAAAGAAAAATAACAGATTACGTGTTAAGTCTTTAGTTGCTCGGTGGTCAAGTGTTCGATAAATGAGGGAACCTGCAGGTCCTTTCTTCACGCCAGCATCAGTAAATTTGACCGCTGAGCTGCTTTCATCCAGAAACCTGAGTATTCAACAAACACTGCCTGTTTTTAACTTTAACAATCAGCTGTTTTTGGTACAGATGACCTCAGAGCAGCTCCAAAGTAAACTTCAAAGACCAACTTTAAAACACTGAACAGATTTTGCTCCGATGAAGCGCAGCCAGCTGCTTCCTGACACGCAGAGAAAGCCTCCAAGTTTCCACTGAAGGAAACTGGAAGAAAAACCTGAATGTGCTTTTTCCTTCTCTCGACATGAGCTGCGGTCATTAACTGGGGTCCAATCCCCAAGCCCAGAAAATAAACTGTGATTTTCCTGCAGATGTTCCGTGTGTGACATAACTGCTCGATGAGTGGACGGTAACCGCCAACACTAATGGGATACTGGAACTGCAAACAGCTCAGCTCACGGGTTTGATTGGACATACGACTGGCAGAGCCTTTAAACTCAGAGCCAGCAAGACCTCACGTGATTATTATGCTCACACACAACTGTAGGAAACTGGTGAGGTCAAACATGGCCTCCAGTTCGAGACACTACCCAAGACCAGGTCTAAAACTGATGTGGAAAGATCAATGTGGACTGAAAGTCTTCCTTGGATTGTAGCTTCTTTTAAAATCTGCCAACTGTGCTCAGAAACACAAAAAAACAGTCACGTTGTAATAATTAAATACACACACATACTACAGCTCGGGAGTAAAACATAGTTCTGGAATAAAAAGGCACAGATTTGTTAAAAATAAATCAGTTTTTGCATCACTTGACAACACAAGGCCATTATTGAACTGAGCTCCATTAGACCAACTGATTCCTCTGATAATCTGCTCATCTAATCTGAGCGACATCACATTTAGGTGAGAGCTTCACTCATCCAGCATCGACTTCTCAAAGAGAAGCAGCAGCAGTGTTTTGATGGCGTCAAAGGAAGCTGCAGTTAAAAATACAAGCGGTACGTCAAGGTCCATCACTGAGGGATTGAACAGTAAATGTTTTTAGTCTTCTGGACTCGAAGTGAACAGAAACTGAAAGTAAACCTAAATGTTTTTGGTGAAAGATATCCAAGCGGGTATGAGCTACACTGTGGAGAACAGAGGAAGTTGTTTTTTTGTTTTCTCATCTGAGGCAGTGCAGTGATGAACCCTGGTGAGGGAAAGGAGCATTTTTATCCACAACCATATGCAGTGGTGGAGCCAGGGGGTGGTCATTGGTGGCCTTGGCCCCCACAAATTAATCTTGAGCCATACTAATCATTTAAGAAATAAACTACTATACCTTTGAACAATAATAAAAACTAGAAAATATAATTTTGTCAAATGATATGGGTTTACATGAATATATATGACGGCAGCCACCACTGATTTTGCAACCCAGTTTTCAACAGCGACCTTTCTTACTCCTAGATGCAGCCCCTACAGTATATGAAGTTGGCACTTTGTTCATTTTTCAAAATACGTAACTCATAAGACGGACTAATGTTTACGGTGGCAGCTAGGCCTGTCGGGATAAACAATAAATCAATTCATCGCATGGCAAATGACAATTATCCACCTCATTTTCATTTATCAGCATTATAATTTCTTCGTGTCTCTTTCTACTGAAGACACTGGATGACAAAAGGCTCAACTCGGGTGTTCTTCACTGACCCCTCAATTTCTTTTTAAAATCTGCTTTAACCATCTAAAATCGCGTTTTTGGATCATTAAAAGCAGCAAAACTGAAAAGCTAAGCTACGAGCTAAGCTAACAGGCCGACCTCTGGAAAAAAAACCTCAGTCTTGACGAAGTTCCAAAATTCACAGTTGAAACCCGTGCCTTCATCTAAAGTTGATTTTCTCTGCAAAAAGAAGCTGAGAACTTGTTTACTGATTTTTTTATTAAAAGTTTTGTGAGAAAAATTCTATGTTAAAGAGCTCAAACCAAACAGAGCATCCGCCGTTTTGAGAACCAAACAGAGATAACCCATGTCACGTCAAGGGGCCTCCCTCCCATTTTTCTTAAAGAGACACGCTGCTCGCTCCTTCACTATCCATCCTTCGATTCAGTCTTATTATACTGCCATCTGGTGGTCAAAATAGATACTACACTCAAAACTAATTAAACATTTCTTCTTAAATTTGACAATAATTTCTAATTATTGTCAAATTTCAAACAATATTATCGTTTATCGCAATAATTTCTGAGACAATTAATCGCCCAGCAAAATTTGTTATTGTGACAGGCCTAGTGGCAGCCATCTGGGATTTTGATGTGGCAACCCAATTTGAGAAAGGAACCGTTCTTACGCCTTGATACGGCCACACAACAACAACAAAAAAACAAAGTTGGTACATCACTTGTTTTTCAAGTTATCGTGGTCACAACATGCACGAACAGATGGACAGAGGATACTTCCATGTCACCCTTTTCACTCTGCGATGGAGGGCACAAGCATCCTGCCTTTAAGAAACTGGATACTCAGTGTTTTCTCTGACAGAATCAATCAGATTTAATCAGTTAGAACATATTGGATGGTTCATTTAAATGTTTATGGTTTCATGATTTGTTCCAACCTCAGTTAAAAAATGGAGTGGGATCTGAAAGGACACTTCAGTTTATCTGATGTCAGTGAAGTGAGGCACAGACAGGAAGTGAGAAAAGAAACTCAACATGTATGACCTTCACTTAGGAGTCTGTAACGCCCTTAGATAAAGTCCAGTCCTTGTCTGGGTTCAGGGCTGAGTCATAAATCTGAGCAGACTGGTCCCTCTGAGTTTAGGCACTGGCCCGGGCCCGCTCCCTCCTCTGGTTGTAGGTGTGGTAAATGTCCAGGAACATGTCCCTGCAGGGGATCTGAGCCTTCAGTTTGGAGCAGATGAGGAAGGAGCCCGCCATCTTTCTGTGCAGGGAGTATGTCTCCTCGGGGGGAGGCGTGAGACGGTGGCGCAGCATGATGGGGACAAGGTTCTGGATGCGCTGGGTGGTGCTCTGGGTGCCGAAGTCGAAGGGCTCGCTGGATGCGAAGGCTTCGCCGAGGATCATCACGGCCTCCACGTGGGCGTCCATGAACGCCTGGTGGCGAGCCAGGAGAAACATGGGACAAAAAGTTAGAGATTACATTTGGGTTAGTGAAGCAGAGGCAGCTTGAGGCGGGTCAAACCAGCTCAGAACACAAAGATCAGAGAGAACACTGAACAATGACAAGAAACAGGAACTCAAACACGTCCAGAAAACAGTTTTAGATTTATTTAGTGACGCTCGGGTAAACGTAGAGAATAACAATATGAAGCCCAACAAAGAGCAGCAGTTAAAGAAGCACCCCACCTTGGTCTCGAAGCCTGTCAGGAACTTCATGTCCTTTGATTTGGACAGGACGGTGACTCGATCCCCAACGGATGCTGCGTAAACCACCTAAGCACAGGACACAGGAGCTCAGACTCAACCCTCGGCTCAGAGATCGGCCTCGCATGACGTTTAGGTTTACCGCACCTGGATGTAGTCATCAGTGAAGGCTTCAGGGTAGGATCTGCACGCTCCAAAGTCCAAGAGGAAGACCTGAACACAGCGAGTTTTAAAGCAGCTGAAACGTGACGAAGCTCTGTGCGTTAGAAGCTTCCTCCCACCTTGTTTGTGTCCGAGTCGTAGAAGAAGTTGGCCCAGTTTGGATCGGTCTGCATGAACCTGAACTCAAACAGCTCCCTCAAACACAGCTGCAGGATGTTGGAGCAGATCTGCAGAGACGAACAACTCCGCTTTATAAAGAATTCACAGTCCGTCTGACTGTGGAAGGTTAAGATCGCAGTTTTTCTGTAGAAGATGTTCAAACACAATATTTTCACACAATCCTTACAAGTAGAGCCCGACTGAGACATAAACCTGACACTTGATTTGTTTTAGTCAGGATAAACATCCAACTGTACGTTTTGTTTGAAGTATGGTTGGTTAGAAGACAACATGGTGACGTGCCCTATTGTCTAGGCCTGTTGCGATAAACAATAAATCAATTAATCGCATGATAAATTAAAATGATCAACCTCATTTTCATTTATCAACTTTATCATTTCTTCGTGTCTCTCTCTTTCTACTGAAGACACCGGATGACAAAAGGCTCAACTCGGGTGTTCTTCACTGACCCCTCCCTTTCTCTTTTCTTTTAAAATCCGTTTTAATGATCCAAAATCGTGTTTTTTGGATCATTAAAAGCAGCTAAACTGAGAAGCTAAGCTACAAGCTAAGCTAACAGGCCGACCTCGGAAAAAACCTCCGTCTTGATGACGCTCCAAAATTCACGGTTGAAACCCGTGCCTTCGTCTAAAAAGTTGTTTTTCTCTGCAAAAAGAAGCTGAGAACTTGTTTACTGATTTTTTTATTAAAAGCTTTGTGTGAAAATGCTATGCTAAAGAGCTCAAACCACACATAGCATCTGCCATTTTGAGACCAAAGAGAGAAAACCCATGTCACGTCAAGGGGCCTCCCTCCCATTTTTCTTAAAGAGACACGCTGCTCGCTCTCTCACTATCCATCCTTCGGTTCAAACAGTCTTATACTGCCATCCAGTGGACTAAAAGGGCACTACATGCAAAACAAATCAATCAACATTTTTTCTTAAATTTGTCAATAATTACTAATTATTGTAAAATTTCAAACAACATTATCGTTTATCACAATAATTTCGGAGACAATTAATAGACCAGCAAAATTTGTTATTGTGACAAGCCTACTACTGTCCACATGCTCCTCGTTATTGAAGAACTGAGACCAGACTACGTCCAGCAGAGGGTCCTGCTGCGCAGAAGCAGCCATTAAAGTCACCAGTTTTAAACTGGACTCAGTCTGGTGGGTGCTCAAACTTTGGCATTAAACAGACCCGAACACTGCATATGGCACATTATACGCCCGTCGACAATCTATTTCACAGCAATCTAGCAACGGCCCGGACAAGCAGAGAGCTTGTAGAACATTTGACCTTGATTTGTGGCCTTGAAACAGGGGTGATGATAAGTGCACTTGAGACTCCATCTAGTGATGCTGCATGTGTGTATGAAGTTTTGTTAAATTATTTTGAGCACATCAAAAGTTATGAGCTGGCAGATGTAAACTTTTGATGAGCGTGTAAAAATAATGAAAATAACAGTAATAATAAAAAAGGTACAAACTGCTTTAACAATGGCTGAAGTAAAGTCAGATGGAGCAACAGTTACCTCTGATATTTATTCAGGTTTTATTTAAACAAGAAGTCAGAAGAATACAGTCCTGAATAATTTGTTAACATTTAATTATCACAATTTGTGTGTTACAGATTTTTAGGACTCACTTTACAGAAATATAGAAAATATTAAGGAGTTTTAAAGCTTTTAAACACAACATGTTCCAGGTTACAATGGTTTGAACTATACTGAAATATATAAATATTGTATCTGCTTATATTTGCATATATTCTGTAATCTCTTCATGTATTGTCATTTAATGACTAATTAAATAAAAATAAAAAAATAAACACTTTTTGATCCATGGAATGATAAAAACACCTCTGTTCTCCACATGTATCTACAACCTTTTTCACCTCCTCAGGTTGTGTGAAGTGTTTAATATCTTTTCTCCCTCACCTGTTCATTCAGTGTGTTCTGATATACACTAAACAGAACGTCTTAATGTTGCTCATACATTCATATGAGGGGTGGTAAGTTCTGTCAGTCCAGTCTGTCCGTCTTTATAAAAACAGCAAAGTGTCAACACGCATCTCCTGCTTCGCTTCACTGACTCCGTTTGTTTCAGGATTGATTTTACAAAGAAGGAAGAACAACCTTAACATCAGTGTGAAGAAGACGTAGGAGATGGTCGTGGACTTCAGACAGAACAAATACACCTACCAAGTCAGTCTCCCCACCATCACAGACATCTACACTTTCAGATGCAGGAAGAGAGCCACCTGCATCATGAAGGACCCCACTCACCCAGCACACACACGTTTTGCCCCGCTCCCCTCAGGAAGGAGGTTGAGGAGCATTAAGAGTAGAAGCACTAGACTGAGGAACAGCTTCTACCCTGTGGCTGTTAGACTCATGAATCTCTAACCAGAATAATCACTGTGAAAAATCACATCATGTTGCTGCTGATCTGTTTCATGTTGCTGCTGATCTGTTTCATGTTGCTGCTGATCTGTTTCATGTTGCTGCTGATTTGTTTCATGTTGCTGTGTTCATGCGTGCTCATCTGCTCACACAGACTCGTGTTCGTGCTGCTGTTTGGCGTAATGTTTTTATGCTACTAGTGCTTAGTGTATATTTAGTTGATGTTTTTCTTAGTTCATATCTTAGATCTTATTACTGTTTTTCTTTCACGTTTTGTTCTTTTGTTGGATGTAACTGGGACCCTGTGTACACAATGTCATTCCACCACATGTACCACATGTGGTGCGAATGACAAATAAAGAGCCTTGAACCTTGAACAACTTCACTGTTGACTTTGAAAACCATTAGCGGCCTAGCGTCTGATCTTCTACAACCTATGGATCAAGGGCAACTATTGACACTTTGATCCTGTGGTCCTAAGGTCCAGGCTGGTCCACAGAGGTGAAGGAGTCTTTGCAGCAGTCCAAACATGTGAGACAAGCCCCAACTCTCATTGTTTTAAAGTTTCGTCTTAAAACTAATTTATGTTCATTGGCTTGAATTCAGAATCAGAGTTAAAAGACCTGTGTGTTTTACATGTTTTGCATCGTGTTCCTCACCTCAGAGTTGTTTCACTTTCTAATAAAAGGGAACTTTATGGGACAGACAGTGCAGTTCGTCATCACTCCTCACAGAAATGCTCGGATTAGGCCCAGCCAGCCTTTTAGTGAATGCACCGCCACAACAATCGGATCCCTGAGCTTATTGAGCCGTACCTGGTTCCTCGTTTTCTGATCCAGGTCCACGCAGCGATCTAGAGGAACTCCTTGCACCAGCTCCATGGCCAGCACCCTCTGACCCGACAACTCATCAATCACCTCTGGGACTTCAAAGAACTCGTCTCCTTCCAGCAGCGACCTGGAAATGAGACACGAGACAGAAAATCAATAAAGGGGAAATTAATTTCTTCATTGATTTATAGATGTCTTCATTAGTTGTAACAGAGAATGCAGCTGTTCGCATGTTGATGCTGCCAGCTCTGATGAGGCCGACGTCCCCAGACCAGTTTTATAAATCCTTTCTTTAAAACAAGAGTAATCAATACTCCTGTCAATAAACTGGCAGAGTAATCAAAATCTAAAACCTGAATATGTGTGTCCATCAGGTTCATTCATGATGATGGTGGGGGTCAAAGGTCATTTTGACAGATAATGACGTGGTCCACGGTGTAAATGAACAAATTTTTTAATCAACACCTGGAAGTACCTTTAACTTTGAGACAGTTCGTGTTTCTCAGGGGGGAAATTGACTAACTGCTTAAAAATACACTGGTATCTGAAATAAACATATCAAATTTAAATGATTATTTTTTTACTTTTTAAGGATCTTTTGTTAAAAAAAATGTAAAAAGAAAAACTTTAAGAATAATAAAAAATATATATATATATACAGTAGTCTATTTACAACTATTATACTATTTCATGGTTAGACTTTTGCGGTTTGTCCATACTTGTCAAATTTACTACACTGCCTGGCCAAAAAAATAAATAAAAGTCACACTAATATTTCGTTGGACCTCCTTTAGCTTTGATTACATCATGCATTCTGTGTGGCGTTGTTTCAATAAACTTCTGCAATGTCACAAGGTCTATTTCCATCCAGTGTTGCATTAATTTTTCACCAAGATCTTGCACTGATGACTAGGCACTAGGCATGATGGGTGCATCACTTCATCTGCCTCTCTTCTTACTCTGATGCACCCATCACTCTGGAACAGGATAAATCTGGACTCATCAGACCACATGACCTTCTTCCATTGCTCCAGAGTCCAATCTTTATGCTCCCCAGCAAATTGAAGCCTTTTTTCCAGTTAGCCTCATTGATTAGTGGTTTTCTTAAGGCTACACAGCTGTTCAGTCCCAGTCCCTTGATTTCCCTTTGCATTGTGTGTGTGGAAATGCTCTTAGTTTCACTATTAAACATAGCTCTGAGTGCTACTGTTGTTTTTCTTCTATTCGATTTCACCAAACGTTTAAGTGATTGCCGATCACGATCACTCAGGATTTTTTCTGGCCTCTAAGACGATGGGTCCCCACTATCCTTCCAGTTTTTAATAATGCGTTGGACAGTACTTAACCCAATTTTAGTAGTTTCTAGAATCTCCTTAGATGTTTTCTCTGCTTGATGCCCATGATTTGACCCTTCTCAAACAGACTGACATCTTTTCCACGACCACGTGATGAGTCTTTCAACATGGTTGTTTAAGAATGAGAAGCAACTCATTGCACCAGTTGGGGTTAAATTACTTGTTGCCGCTGAAAGATGATCGTCCATGCAGTAATTATCCAATAGGAGGCTCGTACCCATTTGTTTCGTTAAATCCAGGTGGTGACTTTTTTTTTGTTTTGGTTAGGCAGTGTATTACTCATGTGATTGGGATGGTACAGATAAAAAGTTAACAAAAAAAAAACTTCAGACAGGCGCCGCCCTTTTGTAGTTTTCTGTCAATAAGCCTACACTGTATTGCCTGTCCAAAAAACTGCACTACCCAGAAGCCAACAGTGCTTCCAGCTGCTGCTTTCTGCTGAAATGAGGGAAAGTTTTGATCCGATCCGAACCGGACTAAAAAGTTCAGTCCTTACTCAGTGATTTCAGCACTCAGTGGATGAAGAGCCGATCAGAACCTGACCAAGGCTACTTCCAGCCTCATCGGTCAATCCGAGTGCTGCTTGCTGACCCATGGAGCCTCTCGAGGGGGAGGCACTGCTTGGAGGTCCGGTGTTTTCTCTGGCGCTCACCTGGACTCCCCCCCCCCCCTCCATTCGGATTATTCTGGATTATTTAGACTCAATCTGGACCATCGTGTGGTTCTGTGCTGGCTCTCCAAAGGTCCGGCTCTCTCCAAAAGCATTTGGTGCTGAATGGCTGCATAGAGCCGATCAGAACCGAACCAAGATTGGTGAGTACCCATATAAAATTTTGCAGTACTACAGTACATATATGTATGTTGGTAACCTTATGTAGATTTAAGAGCTTAGAACATTGCAAGAGTGTGGGAAGAGTTTATAAATCCTTAAAATATATATAAATACTAAAATAAATATAGTGTTCCTACTTCATGGTTTTTCACTTATTGCGGGACCTCTGTAACGTAACCACCGCGATAAGCGAGGGACTACTGTATTTCTGATTTTTTTGTTGTTTTATTTAAATCAACAAACTATTTTTACACACCGACTGACTGACAGACAGATGAGCATTTTCCTCCGTTATAAGGCCCAAAATGATTTTTTGACCTTTTTTTTTTTTTTTTATCCAGTCCTGAGTTTTGTGAACACCCTCCAGACCACCAGACCCTTCAGATCTGTTAGTTGAAAACGCAGACATGTTTTCAGTCAAACTTACTCCTGTCTTGCAGTGGTCACATATAGAATTTTTTTTCTACTGGTAATCATTCTTTCTTTCTTTTTTTAAATTATTTTCTTTGTTGTTTTTTTTAACACTAGCCATATTAGAACTGCTATTTTCTAAATACTGTAAGTTTTTTTTTGCTTGTACCGATGCAGATATAGGAGTGAAACCATCTCCACTAACAGATATGTTAAAAGCTACCCAAACAGAAAACCTTGGCTGAATGCAGAGGTGCGTACCCTGCTGGAAGCCAGGAACACTGCCTTCAGGTCTGGAAACTCAGAGGAGCTGAGTAGGACAAGAAAAGAGCTGGTTGCTGGTATTAAGAAGGCCATGGGCACATATGCTCAGAGGATCGAGGGTCAATTCATCTTACAAGACCCTCGGAGCATGTGGAGGGGCATTAAGTGCATAACAGATTATAAAGGAAGGAGTGAACAATGCCCCAAATATCCATCTCTGCCCGATGCCCTCAACAAGTTCTATGCACGCTTTGAAGACCCGAACAGACCACCCAGCACCAGACTCACCTCACCACCGGATGAAGAGCATCTCAGCGTGACCTCAGCCGAAGTAAGGAGTACTTTCAGGAGGATTAATCCGCACAAAGCAACTGGCCCAGACAACATCCCCGGAAAAGTGTTGAAGGAATGTGCCGATGAGCTCTGCGAGGCGCCAGCAGACATCTTTAACACCTCACTTACCCTGGAGACGGTCCCCACCTGCCTGAAGACTGCCACCATCATCCCAGTCCCAAAAAGCTCTACAGTGACTGGTCTGAATGACTATCGGCCAGTGGCCCTCATCCCAATAGTCGCTAAATGCTTCGAAAAACTGGTCATGACTCACATCAAAACAACCATCAACATCAACGAGGACCCTCATCAGTATGCATACCGTGAGAACTGATCAACAGAGGATGCCATCTCCTCTGTGGTTCACACTGCGCTCAACCACCTGGAGGAGAAAAACTCTTACATCCGTATGCTCTTTGTGGACTTCACATCCACCTTCAGCACCATGATCCCCAAAACCCTGATGGACAAACTATTCACACTAGGACTAAGCCCCTCCATTTGCAACTGGGTACTAGACTTCTTAACAAACAGACCACAGTTAGTGAGGATCCACAACTTCTCCTCCTCCACCGTAACCCTGAGCACTGGCTCTCCTCAGGGATGTGTGTTGAGCCCCCTCCTGTTTACTCTGATCACGTATGATTGTGCAGCTACCCATCCAGGCTGTCACATTGTAAAGTTTGCAGATGATACAACGGTGGTGGGATGCATCACAAACAATGATGAGTCCAGCTACAGGCAAGAGGTGGAACACCTGGAGAGCTGGTGCAAAGAGAATAACCTTCATATCAATGTGAAGAAGACAAAGGAGATGATTGTGGACTTCAGAAGGAACAAAAACACCTACACCCCCTGAACATAAGAGGATCTGCAGTGGAAGTGGTCTCCAGCTACAAGTACTTGGGTGTACACATGAATGACAACCTCAGCTGGAGCAACAACACTACCAGCCTGCTCAAGAAAGCTCATCAGAGAGTCTACGTCCTGAGGCGACTGAGACGAGCTGGTCTGGGAAGCTCAGTCCTCACCTCCTTCTACAGGTGTGCAGTGGAGAGCATCTTGTGCTCCAGCATCAAAGTGTGGCATGGAGGCTGCACAGCTGCAGAAAGTAAAGCTTTGCAGAGAGTGGTGAAGGTTGCACAGAAGACTGTCGGAGTCAGTCTCCCCACCATCACAAACATCTACACCTCTAGATGCAGGAAGAGGGCTACCTGCATCATGAAGGACCTCACTCACCCAGCACACACACTTTTTGCCCCACTCCCCTCAGGAAGGAAGTTGAGGAGCATTAAGTGTAGAACCACTAGACTGAGGAACAGCTTCTACCCTGCGGTTGTTAGACTCCATCCATCCATCCATCCATCCATTTTCTTTACCCGCTTATTCCATTTTGGGTCACGGGGGTAAAACCATATCATGTTGCTGCTGATCTGTTTCATGTTGCTGCTGATCTGTTTCAATGTTGATGTGTTCATGCGTGCACATCTGCTCAGACTCATGTTCATGTTTGTGCTGATGTTCAATGTTTTATGTTATGAGTGCTTAGTGTATATTTAGTTGATGTTTTTCTTAGTTCATATCTTAGATCGTATTACTGTTTTTCTTATACATTTTATTGTTGGATGTAACTGGGACCCTGTGTACATAATTTCGCTCCACCACGTGTATCACATGAGGTGCGAATGACAATAAAGAATCTCTGACTCTGAGCTGTGGGAACACAGAGCACCTGCTAACGACGTCCTGCTTTGGGGAAAGCTAATGGCATTCAGCTGCTGTGAGCCGTGGAAAATTAGATTCTGCAGCCTGCATGCAAATGAAACAGCCTTTTAGTACTAAATTTTCAGTGGTGCACATCACAAGTCAGTTTTTGCTCTGCACATCTGAATGAAAATAATGTTGTTTGACTAGTGACAAAAACAAAGACTC